ATATATATATATATATTATACACACACACACACACACACACACACACACACACCAATGGAATATTATTCAGTGTTAAAAAAGAAAGAAGTCTCATCACATGCTGTGACAGGGATGAATCTGGAGGACATTATGTTAAGTGAAATAAACTCCTCTCAAAGCACGAATTCTGTGACTTCACTTCCATGAGGCCCCTGGAGTCATCAGATTCATAGAAAGAAGTTGAATGGCGTTGCCAGGAACTGCAGGGAGGAGACGCTGAGGACTTAGCGTGTAGCCTGGTTAGAGTTTCTGTTTTGCAAGCAGAACGTGTTCTGGTTACACAACCATGAGAATGTACTTACTGCCGATCTGTACATGTGAAAATGGTTCCGATGGTAAATTTTATGTCCTGTGTTTTCTGCTACAATTTAAAAAAAGGAGAGTTTGAGTACCTCTATATCTCATGAAGAACACAGCTCCAAACTGTAAACTGACCACTTTGTCTAGAGCTCACCGCCGCATACACAGGGAAGCTGAGGCCTCGAGGTGAAAGTAATTTTTCCAGAGTGTTCCTTTACCTCATTGGTTGATTATGGAGACATGGCCTTCTCTCCCTTAATAATTCTACTCTGCATACTAATAGCAGTTACTGTTACCTGATCCCCTTCCCTTGCATCTAAATATCTTGATTTTATGGTTGCACTTTAAAAATGACCCTGACTTGGCATTTAAATGGGAAATTTAGAAAAAAGTTCTCATGAACTTCCAACACCCTGAAGATATGTTTAAAAAATATGTATGTTGGAGAAATAGCCAGATTGTTGTGGATTCTATTTCAGTTTTTCATTTCTCCCAGGGAAGGAAGGAAGGAGGGAAGGAAAGAAATGTAACTGAGAAATCTCAGGCCTTGGAGTTCAGCGGACCTGGGATCAGTCCCTGCTTTGGACGCTGGGTTACCTACCACAAGGCCACATTCACATGTATAGACACGGGGGTGTTAAGGGATAATGTCCAGTTCTAGGCCTAGTAAGGAAGTTCCCTCCATTTCTTGATCTATTCTGCTTTTTGAAAGCTAAGGTAATCTAGTTATGGGAATATTTTAAAAATAGTCTCTTGGTTTTGTTTACTGTTTATAAAACCTTTTGCAAGAACATATTTGAGACATGCATTTTCCCCCCCAAAGAGTGGTTGATTGGCCACAAATCCCAGGCAAAAGTCCTTGTGTCTCTAGGTACAATTGTGAAGATGAGCGTTGTTACTTGGACCTGGCCAGGCTGCGAGGCGTCCATTATATCACTTGGCGAAGGCAGAATAAAGTCTTTCCTCAAGATAAGGTAAAGTTCAATGACCAGACTCACCTTGTGTTGCATTTAAATTGGTTTGAAGTGTCTAATATGACAAACTAACACTGAACTTCAATCCAAAGGTAAACTGTTCTCGTTTGGAATCATGACTTGTATTTTATGTTTGCAAACTGAGGGAAAGGGGAAATTAATTATTGTCTTCATGTTGAGAAGACAACTTTTTGAAATTTGGGCCTAGAGGGAACTAGTAAGTTACTTAGAGGAGGGATCGGTTAACTATAGACCTGTGGGCCAAATGTGGCCCACCACTTGTTTTTATAAATAAAGTTTTATTGGGACACAGTCCTGCTTCTCTGTTGGCGTGTTGTTGATAGCTGCTTGTGCACTTCAGCGGCAGGTTTAGATAGTTTTGGTGAAGACTATGTGGTCCCTAGAGCTGAAAATACATATTATCTGGCCCTTGATTGAAAAAAATTTGTCAAACTTGGGTGTAGAGCATAAATTAAAATAGTTGCTTTGGCCAAAGTAAAATAATTTTCTTCTGGTTTAGAAAACCATGTGCTCAATGGCTTCCAAATTTGTCTTTTGCTCTGTTTTTGCAGGGCCACCACCCAACTCTAGGGGAGCATCCAAAGTTTACCAACTACTCTTTCGATGTAGAAGAATTTATGGACCTTGTCCTGCAGGCTGCAGACCATGTCCTACAGCACCCAAAGTGGCCGTTTAAGAAAAGACGTGATGAGCTGTAAATGTGTTGAAGCTTTTTGAAAAAAGGGAGTGTTTGCACAGTCCCCCATCCAGGCTCACCTCACAGTTAAGTCAGTAAAGCAGCCTGTTACTTCCTAGTCCCTAATTACCCTTTTTTAAATACCAAACCATGCCTTCAGGATATTACTTACGTGTTTTATAGTCTTTAGCTGTTTCATGTGATTTTTGTGTTATTGCTGTTTATCAAGATACTATTTTTGCACTGAGAACTTCTTACAGTTCAGAAATTGGGCTTGGGCTCACATGTGTAGGTGAGCCTTCTTAGGGATACCAAAGTTTGCAACCGTCTTAGCTTTAGAATTTGCAAATGTTTTTATTGAATACCATGGGATGGTAATTCTAGGGGCTTCCAACGTATTTGGGTAAATTCACGACAACTTACTTATTTGCTGTGATTTGTTCATAGCACTGTTTGTGGTAAAAAAAGGAAAACATGCAACACACACGATTGTGGTTCTCAGTGCCAAGCTCTAGGGCCGTGTTGTGGATCGGTGTTCTATACAGGTCTGCTTTCCTCCGTCAGAGTCCAAACTAACTCCCACTGAATTCTCTGCTGTATCTTTTTAGTGAGTACTAGGTGATGTGCGTCAGGAACCTGAATACAGTGTGTGTCACGTTAATTCACATTCACATGTTTCATATGCAGATCATGTTTTCTTCCCCAAATGTAACAACCACATATGGTAAAAAAACAAATGAGAATGTTCTGTAGGACTGTTTTTATACCTTCTGGCTGCTTTCCGCCGGTTCCTTCTCAGTCATGGAGGGGATTCTTATATCAAACAGTGGTTTCATTGTGCACGTATTTGTAACTGCAGATTCCAGTGTGTCTGCATTGACATGTTTTAGCATGGAACTATTCCAGTCTTTGATTTTTGCAAACTTTAGATTAATCACAAGAAGGAAATTTTTTCCCTATTAAAAAAAAGTTAAGACCAAAAAAAAAAAAGGGGGGGAGTAGAGACATGTGAATTATCCAATTCAGAATGAATGAGAAGCTATAAGAGTGCCGTTAATTAAAAAGCGTATCTGAAATGCAGTCCCACTCTTTGAATGGGATTCGTTTCTCCCTGTTTATGAACTTCTCAGTTTAGTGTTCAGAAACTATGGCTTGGTTTTACTGCAGAATGTGAAGTTTACATTTTCTTAACACTTGAGTAGTCTAATACAGAGACTAATGACTTATATTTTTTTTAAGTAGAGGGTTTAACAAAGCACAGCAGAGCTAAGTTTTTTTTTTAAATGTTTTAGAGTTGTGGGAAAAATAATGCAACAGAGAAGTGACCCGAGAAACATAAAATATTTATTATCTAGACCTTTACAGATAGCTGACTCCTGCTTTAAAGGATTATAGACAGTCTTCTAGAGTTCAGGAATATTTATTAAATATCTGTAAAGGGAATAATAGTGAATCACTGTAGCAATAGCTTTGATTTGCGATCTTAAAATTGTTTAGAAAGACTTAGAACGTATGAATTTTGAAGGGGGCAGTGTTACTGCTGTTCTCTGTCCAGAGTATGGAGTCACCTCTGAGAAGATAGTTCCTGTGAAAGGAATTGTCTAGCCCATGTTGCCCTTTCAGTCAGAGAGACGTAAACGTCTGAAAAAGGAAGTTTCAACGTTTATCTTCTTACCTCATTTTAAGAAGCATGTGGCAGTGTGGTTCTGGAGATGATCGAGAATTTCAGACATTGAGAACAATTTCATCATAAAATACATTTGCATATTTTGCATTTAAAGAGAGAATACGTTTTGTAGCAACAAGAGAATATGGTAGACACTTAATGGAATTCATTTTTATCAGATTTTTTTATGGGAGCAAAAGGTCTTCAAAGTATTATAAATTTAGAATGTAAAGATTGCTCTTTTTATTCAGTCTTTGAAAGAGATACCTTTCATTGTACATTTTTGGGTGTGGCTTTGGAATAAATCTTTTTATATCTTCTTATTTGAATACTGGACTATTTTTGGGATTTTCTGTGTCTGAATGTCATATGCTTACTTTTTCAGGGGCAGTCTGGTAGCTCTAAGTGATAAAAATTGAGTGGCTCACTGTTGAATACAGTTATTTAGCGGTTTGTTATAGGGTGCTTTCACAAGTGTGATGTTGCTCAATCCATACAAAAGCGACATAAAAGTTGTTCCCATTTTTTAATGTGAGGAAAGTCAGATGCTATGTAAGGGACTTCCTTAAAGATTACAGGGCTTCCAGTACCACATCCATAGCCCTCCATTTATTCACACACTCACTGAGTCAACACTGATTGACGGGTTACTGTGTGCCATTATACTCCAGATTCTGGGCACACAGCAGTGGAAAGAGCAGAAGAAAGTCCTTGCCCTCTTGGACCCTGCGTTTTGAAGGTAGAGGAGACAGATGTTAAACAACATAAACAAGTAACATACTGTGTGCCATATATTGATATGTTGGATGGAGAAAACCAAAGCAGGAAGAAGGGATGTGGAACTCTGGGGTGAGGTGGAGTCTGACCCATTTGGGTAGAGGGTCAGGGCAGTCCTCACTGAGGTCACATCTCAGTCAGGATTGAAAGCAGCTGAGGGAGGAAGCAATGCATATAACTGGGCAAAGAGCATTCCAGGGAGGTAGTATGTGCAAAGGTCCTGAGGCATTAGGGTTCCTGGTATGTTGGAAGAACAGCAAGGAAGCCACTGCAGCTGGAGTAATCGATGGGCAGAGGAGTAGGAGATAAGGTCAAAGAGGTAGTGGGACTAAGGTGCAGATGGCAAGGCTCTCATTCTTTGATTGTGATGAGATGGGAGTCATTAAAGGGATCTCAAACAAGGAATGACCTGACTTCCTTTGAATAGGCTAACTCTTGCTGTTATGCTGGGAATAGACCCTGGAGGAATGTCTTAGGTTGTGGGAAACATGCTAGGATAGAGACTCGTATGCAGGTGTTTTATAAGGGAAGATGGTAATGTTTAACACCTTGGAGGAAGTAAGGGGCCCAGACTGGGGTGGAGAGAGAAAGGTAGCAGAGGAGGCCTCCGTAGGGGAGCTGCAGAGTCACTGTAAAAAATAAGACAAGAGATCCTTATGGCAAAGAGTCACTGAGAACCAGCCGTCCCCTTGGAGGGGTGTCGCCCCGGGCAGGGCAGCTCCCTTCAGCTGAAGGCAGTTCCTGGAGAAGAGCTGGGCTGGGATCCGTCAGCAGCCAACATCCCCAGCAATCAGGACGGTTGCGGGGTGGGGGGAGGAATCTCGGAGACCCACGGCAACATCCACAACGGGGTCCAGCTGGGGCCATTCAGCTTGGTCCTCTCTCTTCTGCTGCCTGCCAACTGAAAGTTCGATCCAAAGGCTTCATTTGATTCTGATTTTGTATGTTTCAAAACCTGCTGATGGATGACACTGTGCACTTCATATGACAGAAGGCTGGAGTGGGCTTTGTGCGCCATGTGTGTGCTCTGTCTCATTTTATTATTTGTTGGTTGCCCCCACCAATGCCCACTCTTTTAAAAATGTAAAAAATCACTCTTTGGGATATTTAAACAGAGAGCAGAGAGGTTAAGGAACTTGTCCAAAGCCACACAGCTAGTAAGTACAGGTGGACTGGATAAAGGGCTTTCTTTGTGAAGGAATTTAGACTGGGAAGGTAATGTAGGAACGAAGGAAAGAGAAGAGAGAAATTGAGGGGGAAAGAAGATAGAATATTCCTGGATTTACGCCCTTTCTTCTAGTTACGATGTAGTTTTCTCTGAAATATAGTCATTGAAGAGAATTTGAAAAATACTCGCTTTTTCAAAACCAGGAGCATGTAAGCAAATCAGCTCAGGTATGACTGATTGCCTTGGAGTCGTTTAAAATAACCTATTCCCAACCAAGGGCTCCTGCCAGACACTTCAGTACCGTCCTCCTCTGGTTAGCTTATTGGGGCATGGCAAAGGATGTCAGAAGCACTCTTGTCATGGGGAGAGTGGCTTAGACAGGGGCAGTCTATGTGGGGGCCCTCGCTTTCGACGGTAATGCACATTTTGACCACGAGGTGGCAGTCAAGCCCTTCCAAACGGGCCTCTGAGCCCTGAAGCCCGGCTGTAACGTAGATTCCAGACATCTGAGTGCCAGGAGTAAGGCTTTTGCTTCTTTGTGTGATTTAATTGTTTTTCATTTCTGATTTGAAGAAAAGTGGAAATATTATTATGGATAGTTTTCAGATATAAGTGGAATTACTTAGCTGCAGCCAGTTCCTGAATCCAGTGTAATATCTCCTGATCGTCTTGTATGAAGAGCATTTGGCCCTGGGAAGATGACTTAGTGACAGAAGCTGTTCAGTGGCATGCATTCTCACCGACGTGCAAAGGAATTTTCCTGGGAAAAGAGCTCTATTGTGGAATCTATAGATAGCCCACTATCTAGCCCCTCGGTCCTTTTTGGGAGCTAAATTCTTTCTTATTTTGGCTTTATAGGTGAGATTGCATATGCAATTGCTGTTATCACTTAGTTTATCATATAGTTTGAGAAAACCATAAGCAGAGGAGTTCACTGAGGTCTAGGTGTCCCCAAATGGTGCAGTGTTAATTACGGAGGGCTTTTCAGGACAAACAAAGGGGCGTTAATATTGAGTCTTTACCTGGATCTGACCTCCAGTGCAGTCCTCCAGATATTTGCCGTCACTTGTTTTTCACAACGATGAGCTGCAGAATTTTGGGATGTTTTTGCTGAGAGGGGCCTTGGGGAGCCTTCATGGCACTTGCACATTCCTCAGTGGTTTGTTGACTGCCTACCAGTCGTAGGTAATTCTAGACCAAGAGAAAAGCATTCCTGAGGGAAGCATGTCTTGTAGACCCAACAATTCAGCGATGGAAATCAGAAGGCCCTGGCTTCTCAGCCTTGTCGCACAGAAACTGCACCGTCGTGGGCTTCTTGCTTAGCCTCCTGAAGTTTCCATTTTCTTGTGAACTGGTGGCCCTGTCTATAAGGATAAAATAAGAAAATAAAGTCACACGTTGAGGGCCTGGCACATAGCATATATTCAGTAAACGCTGCTATTAAACTGTGACACATTGAACTATTATCATTGGAAACTCTAGCACCCGGGGAGCAGTTAAATCCTGATCTCCAGCCCTCTCCCCAGGCCAAGTTAGTCAGGATCTCTAGGGGTAGTGTCAGCTGACTCTATTTGGTCCAATGTCCCCAAGTGTTCGAGGCACAGGTGCTGGGACCTCCTGCTCTAGAAGAGAGTGATACAGCTGATGGCACTAGATGGGTCATGGGGTCTAAGTCAGCGCTCGTCAAAGTCCCTCCCACCCAGTGGGGTGTAATTAAGATGTTACATAGAAGATGGTTTATTAGGGAAATGCTGCCTCAAGTGAGTAGCATTGTTTCTTGCAGGGTTTCTCCACACCTTTGATACACTGATGCGCATTGTGCATCTCTAAACAGAAAGAGGTAGTATGCACTGTTTCCGAATTCTTTGGGCCACTGGATCTTTTTCTCAGGGAACGTGACTACTGGTGCACTAATGCCCCTCCAGGCAGCCTGCCCTGAAGTGCTGGCCGCGGCAGTATCTCCCTTCTGGGGAATGAATGGCTACCAGGCAGTGCTTTGGGCATGAAGTTGCTCTGGCTGGCTGCACCTTATTTGTGAGTTAAATCAACTGTGCTACCTGATTACAGTAGATTGGACCAAGGATCAATAGCTGAAGCACATTCTATCCAATCAGGAGGTTGTAAGATAAAGGGTAAAGAAAAATACCCATGCAGATCCCTTCAGCAGGGACATTTGGATGTGAGATGCAAAGAGAATGCCAAAGCTCCTTGTACCGAGACACCAGATCTGAGCTACTGGTGCTTATTTTGGACCAAATTCAGTTAGGAGCTACTCTTCAGTTATCCACGGGGCCACCTGTGCTTTCAGGTCGTGCATTGGATTACCTCTTCCTCCCTGTCTGAAAAAACCTACCTAACGCAGTCCTGCCAGCACTCCAGGTGTGATTGTCCCCGCACTGCACCATGGAGGGGGAGGGGCTGGAGTACGTCCTCCAGGTTTAATGCCATCCTGCTACCCTAACATGTTATTGCCTCTCGAGTCGAGGTCTCTCAATCAGCAGGACAACAGGAGGTCAAAAGTAACGGTAGTTTCCAGAAAAATCTGTAATGTAAATTGCAAGAACACAAATCTGTAGCAGTACCTATGGTCTTAGGTGGAAATCCAAGCTGGGCACAGGGTTAAATAAAGGTGGCAGAGAAATCAGGCCAGTTTGACATGAGGCCATTGGATGAGGAATCAGCAGGTAGGGGATGGAGTCAAAGGTGACGGTTACAAGGCCCAGAAGGAAACCTGTCCTTCAAGTGGAAGAGATATGTAAATAAAGCTGATGATGAGAGTGGAAGGAGGAAGACACCAGACACACGTTGAACAGGCCAAAGGGAAGCCGGGAGAGGCCGGGATTCACAGTTCAAAGCTGGCTAAAATAAGGAGGCCGAGGTGGAGGAAAATGGAAACCAAGTCCGCCCCATGCCACAGCAACCCTTCCAGCTGCTAAGGCCGGCAGAAGATGGGGAGGAAAACAAGGAAGCTCCGACTCACAGGAAGAGCTATTCTACGCTGATAGAAAATGTAAATTCTCCGGAGAAATATCTTTGTCTACGCCTCATTTTTCAGAAATGCAGAGGGATATTCAGTAACTTCCAGGAAGAGAATTTGCACAAGATGCTTTAAGAAACGTTTATGATTCACCTGGTGAAAATGGGACCAGGGCTTTTTCCTCCTCCAGTTGACAAGGATGTCAATACATCCGCTTTTCTGTGAAATTAAAAGTGAGACGTGATAGGGGAGCGTGTCCCAGTGCCATCCCCAAACTGAGGCATGGAACAGAGATGGGATTTCAGTTCTGCCTGCCAGGTGTCTCTAAGCAAATCAGCTGCCTTTCAGAAATTGCCTTGCAATACTAGCATATTTACTTTTTTACTAGATTGTATGTTCTTGGATGGTCTTGCTTTTGCAATTCAAATAGCCTATTGAAAAAGAGTTTTATGATGGCTGCTACCTGGCGCAAGCAATCAATCTGGGGGACGAGGGGATAAAAGTAATACGCAGAAAAGGGCGCCCATTCTTTACAGCTTTGCATTTAGACTAGCAAGGAGGGCCAGCTGCTGGGGAAGAGCTCATGTTCTGCTCTTATGTGGTCTTTTTGCTTTTCCTTCTTTAGTTCTTCTTTTTCCTCTTCTTCTTCCGCCTTCTCCCAGTATTAGCATTTGAAAGTCTTGCTTTCAACAGAAAACAAACTTAAGGTTACCAGGGAGTAAAGGAGGGTGGGAAGGGCTAAACTAGGAGTTTGGGATTTGCAGATACTAACTGCTGTATATAAAATAGATAAACAGCAGGTTTTTACTATATAGCAATACCTTGTAGTAACCTGTAGTGAAAAAGAACTTGAAAACAAATGTATGTATGTATATGTATGACTGAAATAGCATGCTGTGCACCAGAAATTAACACAGCATTGTAAACTGACTATACTTCAATTTAAAAAAGTCTTCCTTTCAATTAAAAAATACAATTAAATTTTAAAAAGTCTACTTTCTTGGTGGAAGGAAACTGCTCCCAGCGGCCAGGAATCCTGCAGAAAATTCTGGATCAGCTGATCGGTAGTGAACAGCTTCCTGGTCTGAGTGATCACCCACAGCAGTGAGACATAGCAGATTTTGGACTTCCTCTGCTGGGCTGTCCCTTGGAAAAGGACCCATGGAACCTGTGGATAACGTCTCCTTCACCCACTCAGGCTTCCTGAGACCCACTGAGGGTCTTCTGCAGGGCAATGATGTTGGGCAAATGGAGCGCTTGCAGTCTTACGAGAAATGAGACGCTTTGCAGAGCCGTGATGAGGCAAGGTGTGGTGGGCAGTGAAAGTTGCAGGCAGAACACTGACACTCAGGAGCCTCAGTTTTCTCATCCGCTAATGGGAGCTATTAAGGAAATCCACCTGAAGGTGATGGTGGGGATTTATTTGGTCGTTCTACCTGCAAGGCTCTTTGCTGGGCAAACAGTAGTGAGGAATAGAGGAGACTGATCTTAATCAGATAATCACACAGGTGAGGGTATATAAGGTGGGGCCCAGAAGGGGAGGAGCAGCTTATAACCGAGAGAGATGCCGGAGCCTGGGTCGTAGAGAGGTTGGGGAAAGTTATTCCCAGACAAACGTAAGATAACGCCCCGAGTGTCTGGCACACAGGCCTCTGAAAGCAGGGAGAGGCGCTGAGAGATGAAAGAAGAGATGGCGGCGGAGGAAGAAGAAGACACAGACCCAAGGAAGCCAGGCCCGTGAGCACCAGAGAAGCCTTTGTTTGATGACAGCTTTCACCCAAAATACCCTGAGAACAGTGGACACAGAGGTCTGCAACCCTGGAGTGCTTGATCCAGCGGTGGCTGACCGTCTAAGAGGTGGAGAGCCTTAGGGAGAGCAGATTTACCCCGGACAAAACTTGCAGAAGCTCCGGGCTGTGGGACTTGAACTTTGCTTCCCACTGAGTGGGTTCATCAGTATCACCTATGCCCCTGGCCGGCCTCAGTGGCCTGAGTGCTAGCCCGCCTCTCCCGACCTCAGCGTCCTCAGCTGCCGCGCCAGGTGTTCAGACCCATGTCTCAAGGTTGCTTCTGCTCATTAAGTCCGTCAGTGACTGTGGTTCATACACAGAGGTAAGCCCGCAGTTCAGTTGCATGAGGTAACCAGGGGGCGGCTCTGATGGGAGGGGTGGGGTTCTTCTGGGCCTCACCTGAAAGTCTTCTACAAAATGTGGGCATCCTTAATCCTGCGGGGAGGAGGGATTCATCCAGTGGCTGCAGCGTTTAGGGATGGGCTGAGACTTCAAGACATGCTGGCATAGCTCAGAGTTTTCAAATTACATGTAGGAAGATGACTGCGGGGGGTGGGGGTGGGCAACCAAAGCTGTGAGTGTTTGTTTCTTTGAAGATATAAAATTAATTGCTGCTTGGGAGAGGGGCAGGGGCACTCTTGGGGCACGTGTTATTAATGATGCTTATTGCTCACCAGCACGCGGTTGAGAAGGCCCCTGCCTGGAAACCAGAGATTTGTCGCAGTGAAGATCCAAGCCTGCCTTCTTTTCTTATTGAGGTATGGTTGATTTATAATATTATATAAGTTTCAGGTGTACAACAATTTTTAAAGATTGGACTCCTTTCATAGGTATTCTAAAATACTGGCTATCTTCTCTGTGCTGTATAATATATACCCTTGAAGCTTATTTATTTTATATATAGTGGTGTGTACCTCTTAATCCCTTCCATCTTGCCCCTCCTCCCTGCTTCCCTCTCCCCACTGGTAACCACTAGTCTTTCTGTATATCCATGAGTCTGTTTCTTTTTTTATTATATTCACTAGTTTATTTTTAGATTCTACAAATAGGTGATACCATATGGTATTTATCTTTGTTGACTCTTCACTTGGCATAAGACCCTTCAAATCCATTCATGTCTTTGTACATGGCAAAATTTCATTCTTTTTTATGGCTGAGTAGTATTCCATTGTGTATACTGCATCGTCTTTATCCATTCATCTGTTGATTGATACATAGTTTGCTTCTGTATCTTGGCTATTACAAATAATGCTGCTATGAACATTGGGGTACATATATCTTTTTGAATTAATGTTATCATTTTCTTTGGATGTGTACACAGGCATGGAATTATTGGGTCATATGGTAGTTCTATTTTTAGTTTTTTGAGGAACCTACATACTGCTTTCCATAGTGGCTCTACCAACTAATATTCCCACCAGTAGTGCACGAGGGTTCCCTTTTCTGCACATCTTTGTCAACATTTGTAATTTGTGGTCTTTCTGATGATTGCTATTCTGACAGATGTGAAGTGATACCTCACTGTGGTTTTGATGTGCATTTCCCTCATGATTAGCGATATTGAGCATCTTTTCATGCGCCTGTTGGCCATCTGCATGTCTTTCAAAAAATGTCTTTTTAGGTCTTCTACCCATTTTTCAATTGGGTTGGTTGTTTTTGATGTTGAGTTGTATAAGCTGTCTATAAATTTTGGATATTAACCAATCGGTCATATCATTTGCGAATACGATAGAGAAACTAGAGATTTGCCTCACTGAAGGCCCAAGCCTGTCTTTGAAGCTCAGGAGAAAAACTCTTTACATGAACGGGAAATACCTAGCGCATCAGCGTCTCTGTGGATGGTGACCTTTGTCGGCGTTCAGCCGTCTGTCCATCTGGTCCTTATCGTTGCCGAGGGCTCCTGACAAGTTTGCGTGGTGGGTCTTCAGGCCTTCAGAATGTGTTTCCTTGTCTAGAAAGCGTTAGATTCAGCCTGTCCTAGGGATGCAGGGATGGATGGTGGTACCTTAGGGGCAGCGGGTTATTTGGGAATATGTATAGGTCCCGTGCTGAGGACAGCGCCACACTGTTTTGATCTGGGTGCCTTTTTTTTGTCTTGCTTGTCTCTGAGTCAGAGGATTTTTGAGTTTCTGAATTGAATGTGGTAGCAACAAATAGATTCTAAGTCAGAAAAAAAAACCCTTATCAAGCGAGAATACTACTCAGAAGGTGCTATTTGGCTGCCATTGTTTCAAAATGTGGACTTATGTCTGTTTTTAATTGTGACATGTGGGACACTCACCACCATTGTGGCCGATACTTATCACGTCCCTGACCCCGCACCCTATTCTTCCCTCCACCCCTAACACCCACCCTCTTCTTCAGCAAGTCCCCACATCTGACCTCACTTTCCAAGTTTTATCCACCACGGAAAGAGTGGCAGTGTTATTCATCACCCTGAGAAATGCTACGCGGAGCCCAAGGATTGTGTGCAATGGTGATGTCAATGGGGACAATTCATTATTCCATCAAGCACTTGGCATGTCAGTCAATGAAAAAATATGTGCTTTAGAATTGACAGCTCAAAATAGTCTTTTCAGTGATTGGCATGCCAAGATCTTGAGAGTATAATGAATTATTCTTTAAACCTTTCATTTCATGCCATCAATTTGGCCATAGACTTTTCTTTTTTGGGGGTGTTGGGGGGCAGGACTAAGTTATAGAAGTTACCTAAAGAAATAGCAAGCAAAATAACTTTGCAGCTTAGGAAGCAAAGACTGGGGCTATGAGAAGCAGAATTAGACAGAATGTTCCTCAGAGAAGGGAGTGAGGTGAACACAGTTACCATTCACAGAAGCCTAAGAAAAGTTACCTGATGTTACCTGACTCTTGGGTGTGAAAAATAGTTCATTCTCACTGACCACCTATAGAATGACCCTGAGATTTCACCCTCATTGTCCATAATGAGGCACTGGGAAAATAGGAGATGATTATTCTGTTTTCATGTGATACAAGCTTGCTGAGCAATATAGCTCCTGATTAGTTAGGACACACGGGTGTTTAGGGCAGTCTCGGGTTGGATTTTGAGTTAGATTGGAAGGTCAGTTTTCCCCAGTTAATCTCTGTACCTAGATTACTTTGCCCATCCTTGCTGTATGGTTTTTCTTATACTCCTGTGGCTAATTAATTCCATTCATTTGCAAGTCTGAGCTCTTCAAAGATCGGCACCCATCTCTTCTCCTCTGAGTGTTTTGAAACCAGGACTGAGAAGCTGCGCGACCCCCTGGCTTTGTGGGGAAGGGTTAGCACGCTGGCATGCATTTTGGGTGACTCCTGAACATGGCACAAAGCATGGCGAGGTTTCAGCTGGTCAAACCGCTGTCATCCTAAAATGTCAGGCTTATTTCTAGGAGCAGCAGCTGCCACAGACATTTTTTTTCCCTCAAATATCTCTGCTGAATTGCTTGATTGTCAATGGTTATTTTCTGTCCTGTTAAATAATGTCCTGTTGCTACAGCGATGGTCATTTTAATACGGTCACAAAATAACAGCGACGCCAATTTGTTTTCAGAATTGGGTCTTAATTGTTCACCATTGTTTGAAAATAGAGAACAGCCTCATTAATCTACGGTTGAATATTAAGCATTGCATTAAAATTTTGCCCAGAAAGGAGAGTTACTTCAAATCCCCTCCATGTGTCCTTCACGGCCAGCAAAATGATCTCTTCTGCATTTTTAACCATCAACCTGAAGAAAAATCTGGGTGTCTGTGACCTTTTAATTTGTACTTCAAAGAAAACATTTCTTAAAGTTATGTAATAAATCAATCATTACTTGCTTAGTAATCTTAATGCATGTCTTTGAAGTCAGCAATCCGCAAGAGAGGCTGGGATTTTTAAAAATTGACAACTCTCTGGTCATTTGATGTAAACCGTATTTTATTGATCAGCAGTGGAACGTTGCTTGATTTCAGCTGCATATAAAGCCATGTGATCACGGGGAACAATGATAAATGAAGACTACTTTATATATATGTGTGCATATTTCTATATTGTCTCTGGAGCGCATAGAAGATAAGACTTTTTAATATTTTAGTATTTGCAATTTGTCCAATAATACTAACTCCCCTTTAAGTCTCTCTCATCTTTGTGCATGAACACACCAACAGACCCAATACTTATCTATTTCATGGTTTGTATAATCTTGAGATGACAGTTTTTGCAACCGTATTTTTTATGTATTCTAGAGAGCCATTATTTAAAATGTAAATTTACCCAGGTCCCTTCAGTCCTCTTTTGTCTATTTCCCTGGACTTCCTTTGTTATCTGAAGAATTTTTTCAGCTTAGACATCTTTCAACTTAGAACTAATATCCTAGTTACTTATTATTAATGCTCTGTTTATCATTAAAAAAAAACCCCCAAAAAACCCCAGCCCTGGATTTTTGTTTCATTTTGTAGATGAGCTTTAAATGACACAGGGGCAGATCTGTTGTTACTTAATGACCAACTGCTGAATTATAGGGTTCCTGATTTGAAGTGTATTTAGAAAAAGCAACAAAATGCAATTAATCTGATAGTAATAGGAAGGGAAGTTAATACTGGCCTGCAGCGAGACTGCTCATTGTAAACAGCTAGCCTGAATAATTTACCGTCACGGAGGCTCACTTCTGGTTCCTAAAAAGGCCCTTGCGTGGCCTCCTGCCCAGTCAGCTTGACCCCATTCCTCTTTGAGAGTTCTGTCCGGACACGACCAAGGTCCTCTCTTGGTCACTAGCACAACAGGGACCGTGGCTCTCTCTGGGCTTTTGTGGGTCCCTCTTCGCTCCGTCATGAAGAGCCCCTGAAGCAGAGCCTTAAAGGGCACACCTGGGTTCATCATCTCAGCTCGAGGCTCCCAGCTCTGTGACCTCAGACAAGGCATCGAACCCCCGCGACCACCCTATAGGAACGCCTACCTGGAGGGCTTGCTAAAGGGTCAGCAAATAACCCCTGGCTTATCGTAGCAGCTCCAAAGAGCTCGGGCCCTCAAAAGGGAGAGAAGATGTGCTAACATGTTCGTGTCCTTTTGCGGGGAGGGGCACGCCCCACTCACAGCTCCCAGCCTTGGGTTGGGGTGCTGTTAGCAGTGGCAAGGAACCTCTTCCCTTGCCTGTCTGCTCCGTTCCGCATTCTCTTCCATCACTTCTGTTCAATAATTAACACTGAAAGGCTTTTCTTTATTGAAACAGTGCTCCCCAAAGGTTTTTTACATCTTCTCTGGGTTATTTCATTTTCCTTTCATCTGAACTCTTGAAACACATTGAGACAGAATACGTCTTAGGTGTTACTTTCGTCTCCTTCTTACTTCTTATGGAGCTGCTAATGTTCATTGTAGAAATAGATGAAAAAAAATTGCAGGTATGGGAAAACCACTTAAAGGAAACCATAGTACTTATCAATCCAGACTTACTTAGGCTGTGGGCACAACACCAACACTCCCTCGACACGTACACACAAATTGTACACACACACACACACACATACGTTAAGTCTATAGATAAAACCTTTTCATTCTAAGCTACAAACATATACATATTCATGCTCTGCGTATCTCTGGGTCACCTGCTGTTTACTAGCAGGATTTAAAGGACACCTCTGCATTACTATAAAAATACTTTTATCAACATTTTTAATGTCTGCAGTTAATTTCATTAAGCTAATCTCATATTGTTGAACAGTGACTCTTTCTAGCTACTTAATATTATTAAAGGCAAAAATAAATGTCATGCCTTGAATATCC